GAGAGAACTAGCTGAGGGCGCTGGTATCACCTGTCAGGATGTTCGAATGGCTGACTTCTCAGGACAGGACTTTAGAGACATGTTTAGTCTGCGGAGAGCCACCTACAGGTTTCATTTTGTTTCACTCTAATGGCTGAGCTTGAGCATCCGAGTTGTACTTAGGACTTGGCTTAACGGAGTTCAGTGACAAAACGAGTTAGGAGTCAATTACCAGCAGCATGTTTCAGATCTGCTGCTAATAGAGTAGGGCCGATAAGCTCTTTACTGTGATGTTGCAAAAGGGAGTGAGGTAATACAAGTAGTTCTGTGAGAAGAGCTTGTTAAAAGCTGTTTGAGTTCATTGACCTGTTTGACCTCTGTGTTCAAACTTAAGTAGTAGACAAGGATTAAACAGGAATGCTGGATGAAAACATTACCCCAGACTTCTTGATTCTAAGGATATTTGTGTAAAATGAAATAACGTATAATAATTGAATTATTAGGATGCTCTGTATTTAAAACATCCTGCTCTTTAGAGCATAAACTCTGACTCCAACTTGACTGTTGCCAAAGCAATAATCTTGGGTAAGTTATTGAACCTCATCAAGCCTCAGTTTCATTGCCTGTGGAATGGGGACAATAATTGTATTTCATAGGGTGGTTGTAGGGATCAGATAAGCAACGTGTGCAAAGGATTAGCAGTGCCTGGCCAAGAGTAGGTTTTTAATAGAGGTTATCTATTTCTAAAGCAGGAAAGGAGGGGAGGAAAAAGGGTCAGGGTCCTTGTAGTTTTCCAACATAGAGCTGAGGGTGAGGGGCGGCATCTCACTTATTTTGTTTCTGTCTGACCTGTCATGCACCGCTCACTGTGAGGTACAGTAGAGCTTTAGAGAAGGGAAGGTTGATATTGTGTGAAGGCACTGGGGGAGTCATTGGAGAAATTTGAGAATTGGCCTGTTGAACTGTGAATAGTCACAGCTAGACAGTCACATGAAGGTCACATCCATTTTATTTATTGACCTTAGCTGTACTTCTTTCTTTTTTGTATTATTTAATGTGTGTGTCCTTCATTGGGTCTAGTATAGTTAGGAGCACATAATACACTCAGTAAATACTTGATTAAGACTGGCTGCAATCTGAAAAAGATACTGGCTGCTTTGAGGACAGCATGTAGATGTCATGAATGTACACAGAACCTCAGCTGGCTGCAGGCAAACTTCTGTTTTGTACCCCCTCTTTTGGTTTGCTCGGCATTCAACCTCCAGGAGACACGTTCCTTCATTCACCCTCCAAAACACAAAAACAAGTTGTATATCAGAGAGGAAGAGATGTAGGAGGCGTTTATGCCACTGGTATCCATGCTTTTGATTATTCTATTTTTTGTTGGTAGCTAATAATCTCTTGATTTTTACAACTATTTCCTACAGAAGCTAGAGACAGAGATGGCTACTCAAGAAGTGACCCACTTTGTGGAAATCCCTTGGTGTAACAGACGTTTTCAGTGTGTGAAGGCCAGAGCCAATTTCATGTACATTGCTGGGATTCCTGTCATGGTGATTGTGAGCAGGGAGGAGTTCAGCAGCTCAGAAACAATCTCAAACTACAGTGTTTTTCTTGAAGTTAATCATTACCTTGTTTTAACAGTTGGCTTAGTTTTGAAGGTAGCTGTCATGAATTCTTCCCTCAAATTCTCTGAAAAGTACTGCAAATTTCTCTTGATATTAAAATACATCAGCTCCTTTTGTTCTTAAAGACATTCTTCAAATGATCTGTGTCTTTACTGACTTTTTTGTTCTATCAATTTATTCTATTTTGCTCTATCAACTGCTGTGAGAAGGGTTTGAAATCCACAACTATGATTATGCAATTGTCTATTTCTCCCTTTAATTCTGTCAATTTCTGCTTGATTTGTTTTGAAGCCCTGTTATTAGGTACAAAACAATCATGATTTTTATGCCTTCTTAATGAAATGACTCATTTATCATTATGAAATGTCCCTCTTTATCTGTAGTAATACTCTTTATCTTGACGTCTATTTTAGCTGAAGTCTATTCTTATAGCCATCTCCTTCTTATGCTTATAGTTTGCATGTTACATTTTTTCTACTCCTTACTTTTTTTTTTTATTGTGCATTACGTGAAACAGCAAATTAGATTCCCATTCAATAGTTTGTACATAAAGTGTTTCATGGCCTTCATTTCATTCCCCACAACATGTCAGCACCCTCCCCATTTCCACCCTGGGTTCCCTGTTTCCTTTCATCCTGATTTTCTATCCCTGCCTGCCTTCTTATCTTTGCTTTTGGGCAAATATTGCCCTTTTGATCTCATATAACTGATTATTCTAAGAAGCACATTCCTCTTAGGTGTTATTATTTATTTTATAGCCTTGTCTATTATTTGGCTGGAAAGTGGTCTACAGGTATGGCTTCAGTTCCAGGTCAGAACGATGTCTTAGTGCCATAGCCTCTGGGGTTCCTCCAGTTTGTGTCATCTGGTCTTTTTTTGTGAATTTGATTTTTTGTTCTACATTTTACCCCTCTCTGTCCAGGCCATTAAACTTTCAATGTATCTGAGTTGAAGTCTTTTTTGTAGGCAACATACAGTTGAGTCTTCCTTTTAAAAGAGCTATTCTGAAAAGCTCTGCTTTTAATGGGAGTATTTAGTCCATTAACAGTTAATGTAATTATTGATGTGGTTGTATTTAGGTCTTACCATTTTATTACTTGTCTTCTTTTTGTCTCCTCTTTTTCTTATTTCTCTGTAACTCCTTTGCTGGTTTCTTTTGTATTCTTTGAATAATTTTACAGTTCCATTTCATTTATTGACTTTAGCTATACTTCTTTGTATTATTTAATTTTTTCAGTATACTTAGAGTTAATATTGTACCACTTTACATAAATTATGGAGCCTTGGTGGCGCAGTGGTTAAGCGTTCGGCTGTTTTAATCTACCAGCTGCTCCTTGGAAACCCTATGGGACAGTTCTACTCTGTCCTATAGGGTCACTATGAGTCAGAGTCAGCTCAAGGGCAACAGGTTTGTTTTTTTGGTTTTATATAAATTATAGAGGCCTGCAACTGTATATTTCATTTATTCTCCACTCCTATCTTTTGTGCTAATTGTTGTAAGTATTACACCTTCATACATTACAAGCCCCAAAAGATAATGTCATAATATTTGCTTTAAACATTGGTCTTTTTAAAAATATTTTCCAGAGTTTATACTTTTTATCTGTGGGAGGATCAGGTCTGGTAAGAGTTTATCAGTCAGATCAGAAGCAGAGCTCTCTATGATTCTTTTCCATTTCTTATTTCTCTGGTTGTTTGTTCTGTCTTTCATGTTAAAGGCTTTCTGAAATTGTGTGATCCTTTGTTCCTATTTAAGAAGTTCTGTCTGCAAACCATTAATCTCAAAGAATGAATGATCAGACAGGGACTGGCTATTTACTTGGGTGACTTCAAAATATATTTTTTCCCACTGAGAACATTTCATTTTTCTATGGAATAATCTTCAAATTTCTTACCTGTGGGAAATCTGTGTGGATACATGCAAAGCAGAGTTGAGGAAGGGCCTCACAGTTCAGCATTTAGACTTTTAATTAATCCTTTCATTTTTAGCCCAGCAGTTCATCCATGACCTCAGCTTTGCTAGGTAACCCTGTATCCACAGTCTCTCTGGTTCCATTTCCCCAGAGAGAAAACCTTTCCAACTTCTGTTGGTTGATGGAGGTGGTTGCCTGACTGTGTAGAGTGAGGAAGTGTATTTAAGGGCCCAATTGTTTCTTAATCAAACTTTCTACTAATCCTTTTGTTTTTAGCCCTGTCCTTACTGCAGAATTCAGAAGTTCCTGGTGACTTCAATGTTTTGAGCTTTTCTGGAGCTTTGTTGTTCAAACTGAATTACTTCTTGTTGACTCCTATGCCCCCTCCACCATCTCCAGGCAGTCACATTTTTTTTTTCATTCCGCTAATTCAGTCAGCATCTGCCCTGTTTCTATCTGCCACAATGTTACTGAAATTTGATTTGCTGTGGTCTCCTCTTATGTACTCTTTGTCCTTTTGTGTTTATGCTTCTTTGTTTCTTTACTTTCATTTGGATAGACTTTTTGGAGGGAGATAAATGTATGTTCTCTTTTCCCTAATTAATAGGAAGTGAATAAATTACAAAGGACCAATTTAAGGAGAAAACAACATTTTTAGTGAATGATAAAGACAGACTTTTCATTGTATTAGGTTGGAATCTTAGTCAACCAGGAAAAGCAAGAGAGCTTACTTTCAAGCAAGAGAATCAAGTGTGTGAGGGGTGGTGGTACTTGTATATGACTTAGAGTCCCAGCCTTTCTGAGCTATAAGGCACTTGTAGTTCTTTTGGAATAGCAGTTTTCACACTTTATTTGGCGCTTCAATATAGAAAACAGATAAAACTATGACTTTTCCTAGGTATTTAAAATTTTTTTGTAAAACCCCTAAAGCTCTTTTTAAGAGCTTCGGGATTTCCCAGAGCACAGATGGAAAACCACTGCTTTAGTGGTGGCTTTTACATTGCCTTAGCCCAAACAACATGTACAACCATCTCTCTGGTATAAGTGCTTTGAGAATATTAAAAAGCAATAATATTAATTAAAATTTATTGAGCACTCATTATGTTTGGGCATTTCATGCACTATCTCATTTAGTTCTCACAACAATGCTTGCTATAAGGTAGGTGTAATAATTATTCACATTTCATACATGAGCAAACTGAGGCCTGAAAAGGTTAAATACTTGGTCATGGATATGCAACTAGGAAATGGAAGAGTTGGGATTCAAACCCAGCTGGTCTATGTGACTAAAAGTCTACTTACTTAACCACAATATGACACTGGGCATGGTCTGAGGGGCTTTTGGTCTCTGGGGAGCGCCCGATTACCATCACTGTGGGTGTTGGTGCTGTACGTTGAGGACTGCCTCCTGTTTGTGACAAAAAAATATAATGATGGTCTAGATTAAAACAAAGAAGCAACGCATGTCTCTGATCCTCAGGCAACGCCAGCTACCAGATACCCCACCCTATTGTGCATCAGACCCATGCTCTCCTTCACAGATCAAAGGTAAGTGAGATCCACCTTCAGCACATCTTGCACCGTTATTCTTCTTGGACTCTGAGTGGTGAGAAAGAGAGGAGCTTCTCACTTGTGTCTTCCCCCAGGTACATGCTGCCGAACTCTGAGGCCTACAGCTGGGAGGACTCCAGCTACCTTTCTCCGCTCGGCAGCTGCAGCTGCAGCTGCACCTGGAATGGTGCCTTCACAACCGCTGCAGAGCATGTCTGAAATGAGCAACTCTGAACATACCCACAGTGGCTTTCACAACTGCTACCCAAGCACCAATCATCCTGTGACTCCGCTGAACCAATCCGTGTCCTCCCACCTGGGCATGAATTGTTCTTACCATCAGCAGCCTCTGTGCCACAACCCTGGGTAAAGGGCAAACTATTTAGATATGAAAGACCACAGCAGAAAGCCTCAGAGCAGCCAGAGCCCCTGGGCAGTGACAGTTGAGAGAATGAGCAGTGGAAACCTCTCCAGCAGATGGCAGTGTTGAGACACGTATCCGATACGGCAAGCCCTTAACAATGTTCTTGATGTTACATAAGGTTAATTAAAACCCACTAGGTCCACAATCAATGAAAAGTTAAAATGTGAGAAATATACAGAGTCTGGGTGATGGAGGAAGCATTGTTTGTCTACACAGCCTCAGCTAGCTAAACTACTCAAGGGAATTTATGAATGAGCACTCAGTAAAAATCTGTCAATTAAGCATTAACTAAGATTCTTTCCTTCTTTCTTCCCTCCTCTTCTCTTTTCCTCCCTTCCATTCCTCATTCTGGAGCTAGAGAGTGACAAAAAGAGTAAAGGCCATCAAAAGTTGTGATAAAATTTCATGTGAACAAAATTTTCAGGTGTAAAATGTATAGGATATTTTAGGTTTGTATCTTCTCTGTCCCAGTGAGCCCTCTCTCTTTGACAATGTTGTCAGTTTACTTTTCAAGTAGGTGAATCCCAGATCCATTGGTCAGAGGAAAACTAAGCTTCAGGCTATCAAGGTTCAAGGAACCTTAATTAATTGAAATAGACTTAGGAAGGCGGAGAGGAGAGCCCTGGGAAATTAGATAGTATGCAGCACAGAGAGCAAAGATAAGCCTAACCTTCCTTCACTTTGGCTTCTTGATTTTAGGGACTCATTGCCACCAGCCAAGAAGAGGAGGTACACACAGGTGCTGGAAGACTCTGGGGACTGCCAAGTATGGGCCCACCAGTCCAAACCAAGTGAGCAAACCCAGGCCGTGAACCAACTCAGTACCTGCACAGCCTTAGCCGTTAAATCAAGACATTTTAAACTGACCTTTGAGCAGCCCTACAAAATTATTTTCTCTCTCATAGAAGAGCCATGACAGGTTGCAGAAGTTTGTTTCCTCTCTCTTGACATAATGTTTCACCCACAGTCTTAGGTGGGTCATACAGGTGCTCCAGAAAGAGGTGTTGTTCTCTTTCTCTGGGGGAGGTGGAATGCCAGTCCTTTCAGGAGTGTCTCAGGGAGTTGGGCCCCAGACAGGGGCAGATTAACCAGTAAGTACTGTATGCACTGGTTTACAGTAAGCAAGGTACCCACGGGCTTAATTGTGCTTACTTACTAATCTGTAGAGCACAGCCTCACATGGGTTTCACCACGTCACTGACATGTAAGTAAGGACAATTAAGCCCACGTGTACCTTGCTTATTGGGTACTCCATCCCTGGCCCCAGGCAAGATGGACAGCACCTTTAAGAGCTTACTGATGTGCCCGTTGTTTTGTTTGGTGAAATGCTTTTCAACTTTAATGTGCTCATGAATAGCATGAAGATCTTGTTAAAATGCCAATTCGGATTCAGTTAAGTCTCAGGTGGGGTCTCTGAGAGCCTGCGTTCAACAAGCTTGCAGGTGATGCCACGCTACTCCTCTGAACTCTGAGAAGCAAGACTTGAGAGGATGTCGCTAGTAGAGCAGAAAGGTGAAAAGTTGTGCTTTCTTAACCCTCATTTCAAACCAGCAGGTACCAGGAGATCTTTTCAGTCCTGTAAAATTATTCTGGAAGTCTTTCATCAGAATCATCGGATGCCTAAGTGGTCAGATGATTCCTTGTTCTGTCTTATATAACATGTGGCACATCATGTTTTGAGCTTTGAGACTTGATCAAGGTGAGGACGAACTGGTTTTAGGGTAAATGCTATGATACTGGGGGAAAAGATTATATCCCAGATCAATTCTATTGGCCACTTTAAGTGCTCAAAGGTAGGCAGTGTGAACAGTGCCCCAAATTCAGGACACCAAGTCACATTTCTTCTACCCTCATGTGTCAGCTTGGCAGGAAGTCTGAGATTTTCCTCTTGTCCACCCTCACACTGTAGTCCACAAACTGCTGAGGTTTACACTGCCCTGAAAGGAGATGTGTGTGGGGAAAGATGCAATTTAATCGGCACAGGTTGCTGCCTTTGCCTCTCATAGCCACATAGTAAGAGCTGGTCCTCTGAGCCCCACAGAGCCTGCTGGTCCTCTTGGGGATGCCTGGCCTCAACTCCCCCATGGGCTGGGGGAATCCTTCAGTGGATGACTTTCAGTGGATGACAACTTCACCCCTCAGCCAAAACCCACACATCACCATCACCCAGGAATGTTGTGTCAGAATTGCACTGGGCATCCAGGCTTTACTAAGCCTCTTACTACCTCCTTTCCTTTTACATGGATCCACCATGGCCAGCAGTTGCTTTACTTTTCTTTTTCAACCTAGAAACACAAAATGCTAATTAAAGCCCCCTGTCAGTAATATATCTGGCGCCCTGGTGGCCCAGTGGTTAAGTGTTTGGCTGCTAATCAAAAGGTCAGCAGTTCGAATCCACCAGCTACTCCCTGGAAACCCTATGGGACAGTTCTACTTTGTCCTATAGGGTTGCTATGAGTCGGAATCGACTTGACAGCAATGGTTCCCCACCCCACCCCCAAGTAATACAGAGCTCTCCATGCCCCTTCCTATGAAGGTTACCCTAATTTCTTCAGAAATCTCTACAATCACCTGGCAATTTCTTTATGATTCACAAACACAAAAGGCTGAGTAAATTCCTAGCCAGATGAGAAAACCACCTGTTCAGTCTCTTGCAGATGCACCGTCTCACTGAGGTATACCAGGCAAGTCACTCAAACCCTCTCAGAGTGTCCTCATCAAGCTAGATTGCTGTTCAGGTCATCCCAGCCATTGCAGAGCTAGAGCTCCATCCTTTGCTGGCTTTCTTCTTCCTGCTCCCTGAGAAGGCACTGATTTTTCACAATCTCCAGAGAACAGCCATGGAAGAATAACCAAAATGTCCCGTCAGATAGGAAATCCCTAATCCCTTGTTTAAGTCTTATTCGAAAATCACTGAAAAGCTGACTAGAGATAATTGGTTCCAAACAACAGTTCCAGAATGAAAATGAGCAGGTTCCCAGGGAAAAAAAAAAAAAAAAAAAAAAGAAAGACAAAAGGCAGAAACTTGTTACTCCAGTTACTGCATTTTAATCACAGCTTATATTTTTAGCAGAAAGTTTCCTAATAGAGAACTCCAGTTTGATGTTACAGAGGCCAGGGGTTGTCAAAAAGGTCTTGGGAAAATGGCACATTGGTAGAGGAAGGGGGAGCTCATGCCAGTCTTGCAGGCAGGAGTAGGATTGTTGGGTTTTGATAAGAGAAAATATTCTAAATCAATTGGTAAGGCTTTTTTGGTGACATTCTCCTAAGCAGTAGACTTTGGCTAAGGGTTCCAAGATCCTCATTTATATAAGGCTCACAAGGTAAAATTACTAGGTTGGTGTGGGCAGATGTGAAATTTTGCTTAGATAGAAAGCAGCGGGGAGGTAGTTCCTGCTGGCTGGTTCCTGGCCGTACTTGGTCTGAACCCCATATTTAAAAGGGTTCCTAGTCCCACATGGAGTCCCTGGGTGGTGGAAACAGTTAAGGGCTCAACTACTAACCAAAAGATTGGCAGTTTGAACTTACCCAGAGGTGCCTCGGAAGAAAGTCCTGGTGATCTGCTTCCAAAAGGTCTGCTTTGAAAAACCTATGGAGAACAGTTCTACTCTGTAACACATAAGTTGGAATCGACTGCATAGCAACTGGTTTGGCTTTTGGTTCTGGCCCCACATGGTCTGAACTCCAAATAGAAAAGGGTTTTCGAACCCAAGAGGCCTTTTGACACACAGTGAGAAACGAATGGGTTGAATTCACACCATAGGGTCAGAAAAAGTGCCTGTCTCATCTCCCCAGCAATTGGAGACTTTCTAAGCCTTCCTTTTCTCGATTATCAAGTGGGAATCATAATTTCTACTTTATTCATCTCCAAAGTTTTTATAAACTAATGCAGAAGAAAATATTTAAAAGGTAGTCAAATGCAAGCTCTCAGTTTTCTCCAAAAGGTAGAGCTTGAGCAGCTTTCTGCTTTCATACTTCTGCTTCTTTCTGCTGTTAGATCTTCTCAAGAAATGCTCAGTACAGCATGAAAGGAAAAGGAAGGTTTGAATGCCATCTCTTCCACTTAACAGCTGTGACACTGGGCAGGTTACTTCAAGTCTTTGAACCTCAGTTTCCACACTTGTTAAATGAGATTAAGAATCCTTAATTCATAATTACTTTAGAAATTTATTTGGCAGCATCTACTAAAACATGACCCAGAGATTCTACTCCCAGGAACATATGTAACAGAAATGTGTACATATATCTACCAAAAGACATGCACAAGAAAGTCCATAGCAGCATGATTTATAATAACTAAAAAATGGTTAAATAGTGGTATAGTCACACAGTAGAATATAATATAGGAATAAAAATGAATATGCTACTGTCATTTGCAATAATAATGAATGACTTTCATAAACCTAATGTTGGGCAAAAGAAGTCAGCACACAAGAGAACATACCATATGATTTCATCTCTGTAAACTCCTCTAAGGTGTTAAATTTCAGGATAGTGGTTATTCTAGGGCAAGAGGGAACAGTCATTGGAAGGGGTTGGGTGTGAGGGTGTCTTCTGGGGTGCTCAAACCAAAAACCAAACCCACTGTCATCAAATTGATTCCAACTCATGGCGACCCCATATGTTACAGCAGAACTCCTCTGTAGGGTTTTCTTGGCTGTAATGTTTACAAAGACAGATTGCCAGGCCTTTCTTCCACAGCACTTCTGGGTGGGTTTGAATCACTATTGCTTTGGCCACCTATTTCTTGAGCTAGTGGTAGTTACACAGAATTCACTTTATAAAAAAATATCAAACTGTGGTATATTCATGTACTTTTCTTCATGTATATTATACTTCAACTTGAAAAAAAAGGTATATTAAAAAAAGGATCCTTACCTTGCAGGTGATTTAAAGAGTTGATGAGATAAGAGTCTGAGCAGTTCTTGTGGTACAGAAAGTACTCAGTAGTGGTAGTAGTATTATTACTATTAATAATAATATTAAGTTCCAGCATTGGGCTCAAGCTTGTTCCTAGAATTCAGTGTGGGCTTGTGGTCCCAGATTCTAACCCCTGGGGTCTCACAACCTGATAACCAGTACCCAGAAAAGTCCAGCTATGTCACTCTTTTTTGGGGTGCCCCCCCCAATACTCTTGCTGCTGTGATGGGAAAGGGCAGGAAATGCAGTTGTTCTTGAGGACAATGCCCTCTGCCCACTGCTGACCCTCCCCGTCAGCATCTGGAGCCGTGGAGTCAGCCTTTGGCTACTTCCCTGGCACATTGACCTTACTGTCATGCTTGAGCGGGAAAGGGCCTGAGTTAGCTGGTATTCAGTCAGGCATATAGTGTAAGTTATTCCACATCAGGTAGAGTTACCATGGAGGCCAAGAACAGAAATATTTGCCAAGACTTAGGAATAACTGAGTTACAGTTATTCAGTTATACAGATACAGTACATTAATAACAACTAAAGGCGCCATTGTTTAAACTCTTAACTGGTGGCAGACACTGCTCCACATTTTACACAGATAACCTCATGAGTCCCTTCAGCAATCCTGGGAGGTAGTTTTTTGTTACTCCCATTTTGCAAATGGGGAAACTGAAGCTCAGAAAGCTTATATCATTTTCCTGAGGCTGTACAGCCATTAAGTACACAGTTGGGATTCAAACCCAGGTCCATCTGACTCCAAACTCCAAACTCTTGACCCTTCCTTTACGCTCTCTCCATTGCAGGAAAGATGGAAGAACTACTTTCCACCTTTCTCTGAACTTGGCGCCAGCAGAAGAACCATGGAAAGGGCTTTCTTTGTTTTTTTTTTGAAGGGGCAAGGACACGAGGAGCATCTCACATTGTCCACCTCTAGTACTCTACGCTGAGGAAAAAAATGTTTCGAGATTTTTGAAACATCTTTCCAAAAAGGCCTGCTACAAAAAAAAAAAAAAAAAAAAGATATTTTGCTTACATGTTGTTTAATAGTGATGCCCTAAGAAAAATACATTTTCTGTGACATTAGGGATCAAAAGAAAACCCAAAACAGCTCTGTTATTTGCTTTGGGAAGTTCTCAGTGGACATATAAAGAAAGGTTGGATCAATCAAGGAAAGCCCAGCCACTTTTCTCTGCATTTTCTAAGCTGTAGGCTAAGTGCATGCTCCATAGGAGCTAATGTCATATTTCTGCATTGTTGCTTACAGCCTGTACCTGGTCGTGCGAACCTCCACCAGTTCCCTTTCATGTCTAATGTCAGGCATGAGTGATGATACAAGAGTTAAAAGAAAAGGGAAACAGCTAAAGTAGGAATAGAATTTACATAAAAATTACCTGAGTTTGAATTGTACAGCTGGGGAGGCATACTCAAGACAAACAATTATTGCGAGGATTATGCAAAAATGGTAGTTGGTTCATGTGAAATTGTCATTATTTGACCGTTTTTGACCTACAGAAGTGGCAAATTCAGGTGGTTGATGTTACTACTAACAAGATCTTCTCTGTGACTTTATCTTGGTTTTAGCTTCTGAAAGTGCTTTCATTTCTGTTACCTTACGCTGTCTTGTGTAATGTTGCAAGACAGGCAGAACACTTGCTTTTTATTTCTGTTTTGCAGAGGAGGGAAGTAAGACACTAAGTGAATAAATAGCTCATCTAAGTTCAAAAAGTTAGCTGAGCCACCGAGTTGTGGGGCTGCAAGGGGCCTGAAACAAATTAGGATATATTGGATGCAATTCACTAAAACAAAAACAGGAAACAAAATACCTCAGATTACCTTAAGCAAGAGAGAAAAAGGAGGAGGCGGTATTTATTGGCTCCTGTAACCCAAGATCTTAGGGCTAGATCCCAGAACTCAAATCACATCATCAGGACCTGGGTACCTCCATTCTTAGTTCTGCCTTCTGCTGTGCTTTTTCCTCATGGTCCCAAAATGGTGCCAGCGGCTCTTGGGGATGTTTCTTGTAGGTTCAAATCCAATGGAGCAAAGTGAGCATCTTTGAATTGTATTCCTGAAGTCCTGAGGTTCACTCTACTTGGATTTGATTAGGCCAAATGTCCACCCCAGATGCAATTACTGATGCAAGTACTGAATGCTGTACTTTGATTGATCAAGCCTGGGTTACCTACCCTCCTGGAGCTGGGAGTGGACGTCATTGGAACCACACAGACTAGAAGTGAGGAGAAGCTATGCAGGAAATAGGGTAGATAGATAATAGGGGACAAAGTTTCCAACAAATACCCACCAGAGGTCCTTAGAGATGACTGAGCCCAATTATCTTTTGGCAGGTAGGGAAACGAGGCTGGCAGCACACCTCCTGCCTCCCAACACTTGGCACTTTCTAGGTGGTCATTCTGCCTCATTTACGCCTCATTCTCCCTCATACACGGCCTATTCATAAGTTCTATGGATCTGTCTGTGAGTCTAGGAAAGCTGGCCTGACAGAGAGGCTGTAACCCACCTATTTCTTTGCAGTGACAAGTAGGAGTTACAGCAGCGAAGTACAAGACCATGAAAGTGAGGGACAGAGTGCAATGCTCATGGACCAGTGCTCTCCTGCTCTGAAGTGGCAGCCCTACCATATCGGCTCCTGGCACAGCTTATTAAACAGCCATTATGAAAAATTGTAAGTGACTTTTGGAACTCCTCGTAGAGGGCTGGAGATTGAGGTGAGAAGGGCAGTGCTAAATCTCAAGACTAGATCCAAGCATTTGGGCTTTGATGCCAGTCCTGATCAAATGGGATAGCTCAAGGATAGAGTCTCTGTCTTACTCAGTGATGTACATCCTCACTAGTGAATAGTTGGGACATGGGAACCTAGACCTGTATTCTAACTAATCGTAATTTACCCAGTCAGTGATGCAAGGAGAGAGAATCTTTCTGGGCTCACGTGCCCAGTTTAAGCTGAAAGCTGGAAAATGGAGACTTCTCAAACCCTAGCATTTAATTCTATAAATAAAATAATTTACAATTCCATAGGAACATTTTTGAGGACTACATTAAATTGCTAGTCAGTGACCACCCCCCAACATCTATGCTGCAAATTAGTATCCTCAGGCTTATTGTCAACATACCCTGTAGCATCATAGTCAGTGGCTTCTTTGCATAAAAAGACTGATTTCAAATCATACAAGATATCCTTAATCTGGAAAAGTTTCACTCTATTTTTATGACATTATGCTTTTAAGAAATAAATGTCAAATCATACATTAATTAATGCTCTTAAACATCCTTTAAGCTTTCTTTTTGTTAGGATATAATTTACCTATGTAAATCTTCTAGACTTTTCGTTGCTTATGAACATGTTCTTGAAACACAAAAATGTTAATAGTTAAAGAACAGAATTCTCAAGTAATAAATAAATATAATATGAAAAGAGAAGTGTTGGGCTATAAATTTGAAGTTCTTCTTGATATTTTCCTAATTCAAGTATAGCTTTTTTTAAGAGCAAAATTTATCACCAGCACTTTTAAGTTGGATGGACTAGATGAAAGAAATCTTTTCCTTAAAACAAAATCTTGGAAGTTAAATAGATGTTGGGAGTTGGTGTGTTTCAAAGGCGGCAAAAAGAAGCCAATTGGGGATTTTATCATTGAAATGTCACAACTTTGTGTCTTTGCCACTGTGTATAATTTGAAAAACACACACACACACAGAAGGGTCTGTAGGTCTAGGTGGATCGTTCCATGTTCTATCTTAAAAAGAGTGTTAAGCTAAGAAACTTTCATACATATTCACAATGTTTTAATTAAAAATTTCAATGCTTCCCAGCTTCTATGCATATGAATTGATCAAGTTTTTCAGATAAATGTTACCTCTTTTCTTACCTGAGAAGTTTTTTTTTTAAGTTTATTTGAACAGCCTGTGGGGTGGGGGTGGTGGGGAGGAAAGGCGAACATGGTATTAACTCAAAAGTACAAAAGCAGATTTATTTAGAATGTTTGTATTGTTGTTGTTGTGTGCTGTGGAGTCGATTCTGACTCATAGCAACCCTATAGGACAGAGTAGAACTGCCCCCATAAGGTTTCCTAGGCTGTAATCTTTACGGAACAGGCTGCCAGGTCTTTTCTCCTGCAGGGCAGCTGGTGGATTCGAACTGTTGGCCTTTCAGATAACAGCCAAGCACTTAACCATTGTGCCACCACAGCTCCTTCTAGAATGTTTAGCCATACATAATTCACTTTTCCTAAACTAAAAAGAAAGGCGTATTCATCTGGATTAGAATTTCTGCCTTCCTGATTTCACTACTCATATAAGTGAAACAGAAAATCACTTGTCAAGAGACAATTATGATAATGACGGTTGATTTGTTACAAAAATATTGTGTCTCCACCTAAAAGCAATAAATTTAGGGGATCAAAAATTTCTCAAATCTTTTTCCCCGAATGATTTTTAAAACTTTGTTATGAAACAGCTTAAAAGTGTTGAGTTGACTTTATGCTGAAACCAGAATTGCCATTCTTAGATAAATGGAATAGATTTCTATAACCAGGGATTGGTATGTAAGGTTCAGAATAATCTTCAACTGTAGAATGCTTGTTGTTTCATTCAATTTCTGCTTGTAATCCAGCTGTCCTTAAGGTTCCGGCTAGTGCTCATACCTGAGTTGTAAATCTTACCTTCTTCCTTCAGCATTTTTGACAGAGAAACATGCAACGTCACAAAAGGATATGTCCTTTTTTTCTCAACCAAGACAGTGTTTATTACCCTCTGTAATAAAATCTATACAATTCAATCCATCTAGCCTTTAAATGAGCAAATTAGCAGATTAATTCTGGAAACATGAGTCAGTATAAAGTTCCCAGATGGCATAAGGCATGTTGTCTTTATCAAATCCTTCATTTAATGGATTTTCCTTTTTCTGCTGGTGGGCACTATGATTGTAGAGCATTTGACTGATCATCTACTTGAGGAAATCAATAACCTAGTAACTTGATCCATTGGGAAGGTGCTTAACTTATAAAGAACATGAACACTCTTCCCAGGAGACCCATTAATGTTTTTGTCTCTGAATTAGAGGAAAATTAAGCAACTCTATTGTTCATCATAAAGGCAGCCATCCAAATTGAGATCCCAGGATGCAAAGAGTCACACAATGGTAGAGATTTAGCACAAGTATGAGTATTGCCCTCTTCTGCTTGTGCTAAATCTGGCAAGGAGCTTCTTTCCTAAGGAAGAACCCATACATAGGAACCTTGATAAATTAAAATCACTTTCCATACCTATAACATGCATGGGAAATATCAAAGAAATTTTCAACTTTTCCATTCTCTTCTCTACTTAATAACAGTGTTGGGCATTTAATATATTTTAATTAACATTTTAATAGTATTTAATTAGGCATGTGATGCACAACATGCTGTTATTGAAAATGATTCAACAGTACAAATGAAGCAAAAGTCTGGTTAGTCACCCCATCACCATCTCATTCCTTTCTACAAGAAATAACCACCATAGTAGGTTTCCAGTGTTCCTAATGGATTAAACCAAAACCTGTTGATTCCAACTCATAGCGACTCTACAGGACAGAGTAGAACTGCCCCTTAGGGTTTCCAAAGAGTGGCTGATGGATTCGAATTGCCAAATTTTTGGTTAGCAGCCAAACTCTTAACCACAACACCACCAGGGCTCCACTAACGGATTGGGAAGATAAAAAAGAAATGACCGTACTCTAGTGAAAAAAGTTTTTAATAAGTAGTATGACTGGCTACGGTTAATCTTATCTGCTTTAAAGCTGTTCGTGGTAATGCTACCCAGTCTAGTTTTTCATATGCTCACCTAAATATCCATTCATCTGAGTGATTATTCTTATTATTAACATTATTAATAATTATTATTATTGAGTGGGGTGTTAGTGATGAGATGTAGAGGTTTATTTTTTTAAAGGAGGAACGAGAATAATTCTGTTCCAGATATTTCCCAAATTTGAGTAATACAGTGACTTTTCAACCTCTAGCCTACATCTTTCTATTATATTATGACATCAAATTAAAAGCCTAGAAAGCACAAAGGGGAAAAGCAGTGTGAGAAAACAATGCTTCCGTTTGGCAAGAATTGCACTTCTCCCCTGTGAGAAGATAAAAAACCAGAGACAGCTGTGTTTTGAAATACCATTTTCATTTCCTCAGTAAAAACTCAAGAAATTGATAGATTAAATATAGCAAAAGGTACTTTCTACAATATATTTTTCTTGAAATGTTTATGCAATTGATATGGTTAATGAAAGAAAATGTGTAGAAAATATATGTACAACTGGCTTCTTTATTCCTCTTCTCATAGACCTGATGTAGGCTATCAAGTCATCACCGACAAAGGATTTAATTTTTCACCAGCAGATGAAGCTTTTGTTTGCCAAAAGAAGAACCACTTTCAGATATCTGTCCATATCCAAATTTGGGGAAGTCCAAAATTTATCAAAACCCAAATGGGCCTAAAGCCAATAGAAATGTTTTACTTGAAAGCTTTTGGAGTTAAGGTAAGTCTTTTATTTAGTTCAATTTCATTCAGCCAGTATTTATGACGTGTTCCAGTTATCTATTACTGTATAGTGACTTAAAACAATAGCAATCATTTATTTGGCTCACAAATCTGCAATTTGGTCAGAACTCGGCCCGTGACAGCTCACTTATGCTCATGAGGCATCAGCTGGGGCAGCTCAAATAGGGCTGGATCCACTTCCAATATGGCTCACTCCGATGGCAGCAAGTTTGTGTTGGCTGTTGGCTAGAGCAGGGCTGTAGCTGTGGATCTTGGTTCCTCTCTATGTGGACCTCTCTGTAGGATAGCTTGTGCTTCCTCATAGCATGGTGGATGGTTCTAAGAAAAAGCGTTTCATGACACAGAATGTGGAAGCTGCCAATTTTGTAAGCCTGGGCTCAGAAGCTGCCACAGTATCTCTTGAGTCACAGAAACACCCAGATTCAAGAGAAGGGAATGTAGATCCCACCTCTCCATGAGAGGAGAGTCAAAGAAATTTGAGGTCATCTTTAATCCACCGCATTATTGTTAGTTGCCATCAAATCTACTCCAACTCATGGTGACCTTAGGTATAACATAACTAAATGTTGCCTGATCCTGCACCATTTTCATGATCTTTGATATGTTTTAGCTCATTGTTGTGTCTGTTATGTCTATCTATCTCATTGAGGGTTTCCCTCATTTTTGCTGACCCTCTACTTTACCAGACATGATGTCCTTTTCTAGGGATTGGTCTTTGAGACTTACTAAAAATTATAGTTTAATATCTTTGAATATACTACATTTTTGTTATTAATATTATGCCTTGCATATTAATGACTTTTCTGTATATGCATGTTCCTGTCTAAGTATTTACTGTGCTTAGATGATGCTACTTGTATTTGGGACAACTTTATAAATAAAAATGGATATTTCTTGATTCAAATGAAAATTTTTCCATAGGAAGAGGTCAGTGATTATCAGGGACTTTAAAGTATTGGATAATGATGTTGAACTAGTAGCCAAGACTTTCCTGAGTTTTGATAACTCTGTAAATATTAGTGTGATTACAAGTCCTCTCTTCCTAAAACATTTCTAACTCATTTCCAACCATCTCATAAAAATGAATTACGTTTCAGACACATACTTTTCAGGTGGCAATGGTGAGAGGGAGGCAGCAAAGTATAATGATTTCTTTACCTTATAGCTGGCAGGCTTTTCACTTTCTAGACGTGGTTTTGCACTAACCAGAAATGTGATTCTGAGAAAATCCTTTAACTTCTCTTGGCCTTAGTTTTCTTATCTGTAAAATGAAAGTATAAAGCCATGTAATCTCTAAGGTCCCATTTCAGCTCTAACATGCTGTCATTTTTATTCTTTCCAAGAGAATGTTATTGTTATAGTTGAGCAGAATGGCAGCATTCATTCAACAAATGGGTATTGAGCATATATCAAGTGTCACACACTGTATCAGAAACTCAACAACCAGTAGGTGAACCGGGTAAAGGAAGTGGCACAAAGGTGGACAAAGTGTTGTTGCATTTCCTGGTTCCCCTTGCTGACTGAGGCCCGAGGAAGACCTGGGGAGTGTCACTTTCATCTGTGTCCTCCCATATGACACATAAAAGCCAACGTTAGATGGCAACACCCATTTCAGGGCTATTCCTCCATTGACTCTATCTTGCTATCCCATGCTTGCCTTTAACTTTTGGTTCCTGAGTACCATGCTACTGACTACAAATACATAAACATATTGAAACTGTATGTAAATTCATGTTTGGGTGCATAGATGTGTTTTCTTTCTTTTTTAGTTATGCATTTTTTATTGAGATATAATTCATATACCATAAATTCACCCTTTTAAAGTGTGCAATTCAGTGGCTTTTAGTATATTCACAAAATGTGCAACCATCACTACTATCTAATTTAGAACATTTTCATCACTCCAAGAAGAAGTCCTATACCCATTAGTGGACAGTAACATTATACAATTCATCCAAGATAGTAAATGATAGAGCTGGATTTAGAACACAGGTAGTATGATTCATGAGCAGGCAACAGGTGTTTATTAAATGACTGCCTCATATCCAGCTCCTCTGGGAGAGCAGCACCTATTATCTGCATATTTTATTCAGATAGTTAACCTGGGTTAAGCCCTAAGTCTCCTAAAATGGGGTTTGGCTATTGTACTTGTCAGCTACTCTTGCTCCAAACTGAGTTCTTAAACAAGACAAAAATAAAAACAAGCATAAACAACAACAACAAAATATATTTTATGCTTATGGAAGTAATATGAGTCCATTGTGAAAATTTTGGAACATAATAGAAAAATATGAAGAAGATACAAAATTCTTCTTTGGAATTCGTATTTGAAATCCTACTGACTTCACCATTTAGTCCAATTTTTCCTGACTTTTTTTCTGTTATTAAAATTAATTGCCAATTGGTAATATTATATTGTGAAAATAACTTTATAGTATATTATTAAAGACTATTGAAGTATTATTTACATTAAAGTATTACTTACAAAGGTAATACAGTTTTCCTTTACATGGATGTATCATATTAATTCCTGATTTATTGGAAATTTTATTTATTTCCAATTTTTTATTGTAATTAATAACCCTGCAGTGAAGATCTGTGTATACCCATCTTTGCATAAGGATAAGTTCTGGAATGGGAATTTGAACATCAAAGATATGAACATTATTAAAGTTTTTTTTTTTTAATTGTACTTTAGATGAGGGTTTACAGAGCAAATTAGTTTCTCATTAAACAATTAATACACATACTGTTTTGTGACATTGGTTGCCAACCCCACGACATGTCAACACTCTCCCTTTCTTTTTTTCTTTGGTTTTAATGAAGAGAAGTTTATTTCCTCACAATCAAAGTAGGCTAAAAGTCCAAATTCAGGGTGTCAGCTCCAGGGGAAGGCTTTTTCTCTCCGTCGGCCTTCTTCTCTCTGTCGGCCTTCTTCTCTTCAGTGTTCACCCGGATTAGGAGCTTCTCGGCGCAGGGACCCCAGTCCAAAGGACGCGCTCTGCTCCCGGCACTGCTTTCTTGATGGTATGAGGTCTCCATTCTCCCTTTCTTGACCCTGGGTTCCCTGTTACCAGCTTTCCTGTCCCCTCCTGCCTTCTAGTCCTTGCCCCTGAGCTGGTGTGCCCATTTAGTTTCATTTTGTTTTATGGGCCAGTCTAATCTTTAGCTGAAAGGTGAACCTCAGGAGTGACTGAACTTTATTAAAGATCTTGATGTATGTTGCCCAGTTGCTTTCCAGAAAGATTGTCACAATGTGAGCACCCATAGGCTGTGAATGACAGGGTTGGTCTCACCAAGCCTTTGCCACTATTTACTGAATAACAAGAAGACATTTTAGCAATTACTGAATAAACGTGATTTCCTATATGCTATTTATTTATTTAGTTTGTTGCTTTAAAACTTTTTTTTTTTATTAGAATGTAAGCTCTACAAGGGCAGGGATTTTTTGGATTTTGTTAACTTCTTTAACGCCTAGAGCAGTGTCTACTGGATAGTAGGTACTCAATAAGTATTTATAGAATGAATGAATGCATGCATACATGCTTTGAGCTGCCTTGCTCCTGATGTTTTTTTTTTTAATTTTATTGTGCTTTAGGTGAAAGTTTACAGAGCAAATTAATTTCTCATTCAAAAGTATATACACAAATTATTTCATGACATTGTTTGCAATCCCTGCATGTGTCAGCACTCTCTCCGTTTCCAGCCTGGGTTCCCCGTTTCCATTTGTCCAGTTTTCCTGTCCTTTCCTGCCTTCTTGTCTTTGCTTTTGAGCAAGTGTTGTCCATTTGGTCTCACATACGAGATTGAACTAAGAAGTACACACCTCATGTGTGTTATTGTTTGTTTTATAGGCATGTCTAATCTTTGGCTGAAAGGTGAACTTTGGGAATGGTTTTAGTTCTGAGTTAGCAGGGTGTCCAGGGGCCATAGTCTTGGGGGTTCCTCCAGTCTCTGTCAGACCAGTAAGTCTGGTCTTTTTTGTGAATTTGAATTTTGTTCTACATTTTTCTTCCATTCTGTCTGGGACCCTCTATTGTGACCCCTGTCAGAGCTGTCAGTGGTGGTAGCCGGACATCATCTAGTTCTTCTGGGCTCAGTCTGGTGGAGGCTGTGGTTCACGTGGTCCATTAGTCCTTTGGATTAATATTTTCCTTGTATCTTTGTTTTTCTTCATTCTTCTTTGCTCTGGACAGGATGGGACCAATAGATGTATCTTAGATGGCCTCTTGCAAGCTAGACCCCAGATGCTACTCATCAAAGTAGGATATAGAACATTTGCTTTATGAAATATGTTATGCCAATTGACCTAGATGTCTCCTGAGACCATGGTCCCCAGCTCTCAGCACCAGTAACTCAGTCCTTCAAGGTGTTTGAATGTGTCTAGGTGCTTCTATGACTGTGCCCCTTTGTGCTCTATTATATATATAAATATACCAACTGTAAATACAAATATGTATGTAAAAATATCCACAGCCTAACCTATATATGTATGTAGGTATACTCCTGTACACCCTCCTTTCCCTATTCAGCATTCATATCTGCCTGTATATCTGCTTGTAAGTTATTATTTGTTTTTACTGTTGTTGTAGGGTTGTATATGCTTTAGTATTTACTGTGGTTGCCTCTTTGTGTGTGTGTGTGTTCCTCTAAGTGTCTTCCTTTGCCTTGGTCAACTTGTGCTGACTTCCTCTGTATTGTGTATTGTCTTTTCCTTTACCAAATTTGACACTTACTATCTAGTAAGCAGTTTTCCCTCCTCAACCCTCCCCTCCCTCGTAACCATCAAAGATTGTTTCTTTCTGCGTGTAAACCTTTTCTTGAGTTTTTTATAATAGTAGTATCATACAGTATTTGTCTTTTTTGCGATTGACTTATTTCACTCAGCATAATGCCCTCCAGATTCATCTATGTTCTGAGATGTTTTGCAGATTCATCATTGTTCTTTGTCGTTGCATAGTATTCCACTGTGTGTAG